ACACACACACACACACACACACACACACACACACACATATATATATATATATATATATGTTGTATGTATATATATATATATATATATTCCCTACTATGTACTTCATCGATTCTTCGGTGTTGATGGCAATCAACCTACCTTCAAGAGGACCTTTCGGTTGCTATTTCGATTTGCAGACATCTTGATGTATATGAAAAAAGGGTGAAACTTAATGGAAGGGTAATAATTAGACAAATGGAAAGCTAGGCACACACTTGAACAGTACGCTAACGTCAATGTATGAGCACAATATGTATATGTATTAGATTGAAGCGAGTATTTTCACACCCCCACGCTTTGCAAATGTACACAACGATATCAATTGAAAAAAAAACGTATTAGTATATCATTTTTTTTGGAATGTAAATAGTCAATCCGAATGCGGAATTTGAATTCTTGGGTTCTGCAATCGTGGGGTATTAATTTTATAGGGATTTAGAGAAAAAATTTCATGGTGAAGTTACCCCCGTCATTAAAGTACCCCATCAGCCAATCATCTTATTCTTGAGCAAGCCCGCTCGAAATATTTATAAGCCAATCATAAGTCCGATATCAATGAGTCATGCAACATTATGTTTACGTAGATGATTGAATACAAAACGGTTTAACGTAAATAAAAAAGGCAAATCGCTCACCACCTCTAAATAACAGCATAAACGTTAAATGTTTAGAACGCTTCATTTATTTAATTGTTTTGAAATAAAACGAGAAACGAACTGTACTGGTGGGCGACTGGGCGGTGACTTTAAACCTCTCAAGTATTTACTAAATATTTATATCCGTTAAATATTAACTTCTGTATGTATTGTGCACCGCTTTTGCCGTGTCATTGCAGATTATATATATCAATATTTATATATAAATATATTGTACGATGGATACCAGCACAATTGCAGTATTTTCGTATATACTAATGAAAAGAAGTGGCTATCGAAATAGATCCACATAGGTTTATAAACACCAAGAAGAAGGCAGAATCAGCAGCAGTGTAGATACATTAGTACTAGTTATCTGACATATAGAGTAATCGGGATCGCAAAAAGTATGGTGTCGGTTGAGGTAGTGCACGAAGTGCAAGGGCATATCAACAATGTCACATGTGCAAAATTCTTGCCCAAGGACCAAGTCTTCATTACAGGTATTCATGTCGCAGAATGACGTGTGTTTATTGGATGTTCACACGGATCTGCTGTCTCATCCCTTTCACATCATTTATTTTTGGAACATATCCTGCTGAGTATATTTACTATTATGGCGGGTTGTTGTAAAAATCTGACTATAGAAGCTAGTACAGAGTAAAGGAGTTGCCGCAGTCGGCTCACACCGTAGCAGTTATTTGATAAATGTCAACGACAGTATCACGCTAACGAAGTTTTAACTGAGCATTCTGAAACATACACACACACACATATAAAATCATTTATTCACGGAATCTCGCACAAACACACACAAAATACACTCGTACAAAACAACCAAACACAAACACACACACACACACAAAATTTATCCCCAACCCTCACACACGCACACATACAGCTGCACACACAAACCCAAACGCACACTCACAATCAAACATACACACACACATAAATATGTACACACACACATAAACACACACATAGGCACACACACACTCATATATATATATATATATATATATATATA